TAATGTCAAAGTTAAAATATCTATCAATCTAATGACCCTTACCATAATATTATTTTTTGCAAATTATTATTTAATTTTATTATTTTTATTATTAATTATTATTTAAATAATCATAATAAAATTTCATTTCATTCTCTTTGCTTTTTGACCCATACACCAACTTTTTAACCATTATTATAGTAACCATCATAGATCGTTTAGTTATTATTAAAATTCTCATCCACTTCAATCCATTATCCAATCTTAACACCATTACCCTCTTCATCATATGATCCACCACCACTAATACGAATGTAGAAGTAAAAACTTTTTATATAATCTTTACATTTATTCAATTGGTTTGCAGTTGTCTTTTCTATACTCAATATCCCATCTACCAAATTTTTTACAATTTTTAAATTTTCCCTTGTAAACAATTTTAGGAAAACTAAAAAAATTTAAATTCATATCTTACAGAATAATTTGTTGAACTTTACAATTTTCAAATATATCATATAAATTAGAATCTCTTAATGATATAGATTATATTTTACTGCCAATAATAATTATCTTAATAATAAACTAATAGATCCCAAAAACCAACTTTTTAACCATTATTATAAACACCAATATAGGTTTCTTATTTTTAATTATCAAATTGAGCATCCAATTCAATCCATGACCCAATTTTTTCGCCACTACCCTCTAAATCGTATAATCCACCACCACTAACACGAATTATGTAAAGAATTTTTATAAAATTTTACATTAATGAAAATTGTTGACTGTCATCTCTTTTAAATTCAATATCCCATCTACCAACTTTTTTACCATTAACATAAAAGCCTTTATAAGTTACTTATTTATAGTAATTAAATCCCTCATCCAAATCAATCCACTTTCCTATTTTTATGCTATCTCCTTCATCATATAATCCACCACCACTTAAAAATTTTAATTGCGCGCTTTATACAACCTAATTTACATCTCTATAAATGCATCTTTCAAAGTATCTCGATAATAAATATCCCATCTACCAATTTTATGACCATTTCTGTATTCGCCTTTATAAGTTATTTATTTATGTTAATTAAATCCTTAGTACAAATCATTCCACTAGCCAATTTTATTACCATTCTCTGCATAATATCCATAACCGCTAATACAATATTAGAGTTGACTATTATATATTATATTTACATTTCAATATAAGGCTATTGATTATTATAAGAAACACGCCATTTACCAGTTTTTTTACCATTTTTATATTCACCAATTATAAAAACTTATTTATCACAGAACACTGGATAATGCAAATCAATCCATAACCCACGCTTAATACCATTCCCTCTTTCATCATATAATCCTCCACCACTAATAGATTTATCATTTTGCACTATATATATGATAATTTACATTAATTTCTGTTATTAATTTCTACAATAGATATCCCATCTACCTGCCTTTCTGGAATTTTTCTATTGCCCTTTATAGACTATTTCTTACTAACTAAATAAAAGAATTTATCAAATTATACTTTTCTTTTTGATATATTTTATTTCCGAATAAATCATAGACCACAGATCCCCTAAAGATATGATATATTTATATATTACTGCCAAAAATATTCTTATTATTCATGATATTAAAATTTATCCCATTAACCAATTTTTTTACCATTTTCATATTTACCTGCAATAATTAGTTTTTAATTAATATCAAATTTCCCTACTAAATCAGTCCATTCTCCAATTTTGATACCTCCTTCATCATAATTACCACCTCCGCTAAGGCATTTTAATTGCATACTTTATATAAAATATTTTACATTGTTGTAAATTCACCTGTCTAATTCTTTCTATAAAGAATATCCCATCTACCAACTTTCTTACCATTTTTATATTCACCATTATAAGTAACGTATTATCCATAATAAAATCCCTCATCTAAATCAATCCACTTTCCAATTTTCATACCATCATTTCCTTCATCATATAATCCTCCACCACTAATAGATTTATCATTTTGCACTATATATATGATAATTTACATTAATTTCTGTTATTAATTTCTACAATAGATATCCCATCTACCTGCTTTTCTGGAATTTTTCTATTGCCCTTTATAGACTATTTCTTACTAACTAAATAAATGAATTTATCAAATTATACTTTTCTTTTTGATATATTTTATTTCCGAATAAATCATAGACCACAGATCCCCTAAAGATATGATATATTTATATATTACTGCCAAAAATATTCTTATTATTCATGATATTAAAATTTATCCCATTAACCAATTTTTTTACCATTTTCATATTTACCTACAATAATTAGTTATTTTTTAATATCAAATTTCTCCTCTAAATTAGTCCAATGTCCTTTTTTAATACCTTGATCGTAATTACCACCTCCACTTAGACATTTTAATTGCATACTTTATATAAAATATTTTACATTGTTGTAAATTCCCCTGTCTAATTATTTCTATAAAGAATATCCCATCTACCAACTTTCTTACCATTTTAATATTTTCCTTTATGAATTGCCTATTTTTTATCATTAAATTATTCTTCCAAATCAGTCCACTACCCACTTTTAATACCTAAGCCATAAGTACCACCTCCACTAAGACATTTTAGTTTCATACTTTATATAAAATATTTTACATGATTGTTATAGGAGAATTGTCTAAATAACGAATATCCCATTCACCACATTTTCTACCATTTTCATATTTACCTTTCCAAGTTACATATTTTTTAATATAAAACCATTCATCCAAATCAATCCATTACCCTTTTTTAATACCTTGATCATAAGTGCCACCTCCCCTAAGACATTTTGGTTTCATACTTTATAAAAATATTTTACATTTTTTTAAAATTAACTTTCTATATTTTTTTTAAAAATATATCCCATCTACCAACTTTTTTACCATTTTTATATTCACCATTATAAGTAACTTATTTTTCATAATAAAATCCCTCATCTAAATCAATCCACTTTCCAATTTTCACACCATCATTTCCTTCATCATATAATCCTCCACCACTAATACATTTATAATTTCGCATTTTAGATTATATAATTACATTGATGTAAATGATTGACTAATTTCTTATCTAAACCATATATCCCATTTTCCAATTTTTTTTCCATTATTATATACACCAATGAAAATGACTTATTTATTACAATTAAATTCCTCATCCAATTCAATCCATCGTCCATTCTTAAAACCATCCCCTCTTTCATCATAAAATCCTCCACCACTAATTCATTTATAATGATTCACTATTTAATATATTTTACATTAGTTGAAATGCATTATTCTATTCATTTCTAAAATAAATATCCCATCTGCCAACTTTTTTACCAAATTTATATTCACCATTATAGGTCACTTATTTGTTACTTCTAAATTCATCATCTAAATCAATCCATTTTCCTATTTTAATATTATTCATTTCTCCTTCACTAAAATAACTTCCTCCACCACTAAATATTTAAAAGTAATGTACATCTCAATATTTTCAAAAGTATATTTCCATCTTCCTTTTTTCTTATTTTCCTGATATTCACCTATCTCAAATACTTAGGATTGACTATTTTTATTTTATCCAAGAATTTACCAAAAATAATTCTAAAATAAATCTATCCAGTTTCCGATTTTACTCCCATTCCATAAGTACCCCCCAACAAGCTCAAGCTTTTATTAATTCCAATATGCATTCCAAAATCCAGTTTTTTAATTGTTTTTTCCAAATAGGCCTTTCCAATCCAAATTTCTGATCTATTCCAAATTATAAAATAGTTAATTATTATCATCTGATTAGTTATCAAGCAATAGGCTTAAATAATTTAAGCTATCTTTTACCTTTTCAAAGCTTCGCCTTAGTACGAATAAATGATTTGGTTTTGGTTAATTTACACTTGAATTTTAACCTTTAAAAACCTGTGATATATTTAAGCCCACTTATAAACTTCATATTCAGTCTTATAAAAAGGTGCAATGCAAACTCTTTTATTTTATTGAAAAGAATTCATGCTAAAAATAATAATAATTCAATTTCTATTACTTTACATTTATTAAAATTAAGATTCAAATATAATTCTATATTTCTTTTTAAATTATATATAAATTCTATTTTCTGTCAACTTTATAATATAGCAAGCCTTATTGTGTTTAATGGATAAAAAAAATTGAGGCAAAGCTATATAATTCAGAAATTTATAACAAAATTTGTTTAAAAAATAGAAAAAGAAAATATACTAAGCGAATAGTTTAAAGCGATAACAAGGTAAAGAGTAAGAAACTGTTGGATAGCTAAATTGGAAAATTAGAATAATGTTGAATAATATTTCCCTTTAAATTTTTATAGAAAACTGTTTTTTATAACTCAACAAATAGAAGGTAATTGTCAGATTTTAAGAGGGTCATTATAAATATGAAAGAGTTAGTATACGATTGATTTTTGAGGGGAAACAAAAACATAAGATCGAATAGGGCTTATATGTACCAGGTTCACCAAAATTAAGTCCCATAAGGTACCTAGCATACTCTGCAAACAAAACCTAATGTAAGAACTGTGCTATGGAAAGTAAAACATTTCTATAAAGTTTGATCAAATTTAATAGCCAAGAAGACAACAAAGAACTCTCAATTTGGACCAAGTCAGATGGAATCTGATATTGTACAGAAAACGCCTTAAGACCGCTGTCAATGCAACAGGTGATCAGTCTAAGAGGAAAAGAAAAACTATTGAGTATCATTTGAAAATAAATAAATTATTATTATTATATTCATTCATTGTTCATCCTCACTTATTTTATTCAAATTTTGGATCTAGTCATTAGTTTAAAGCTTTTTTTTTTTCATATTTATTCTTCATGATAATATTATGATTTAAAAATGTTAATATTAAAAATAACCTTATTATTAGCTTGTTTCCCTATAAAATTTTTTAACAATATGTTTAAAATCTAATATTTTTAAACTTAAGATTGACTCCATTTATTACATTTGTTTTTGTAAATGTCATTCTCTATTAGTAATGCTATCTTTCTTCAGGTGTATATATAATATTAACTAGATTTTAATTGACTTTCATGAGATTCGTGATTAATATTTTAATGATCAATCCAAGAGAACTTATGGTAAAATTAATTGATCTAGCCAGATTAATTTGGTTTAAAATATAAACTTTAAACTTTCGATATAATAAGCATAATATAATAATTCTATTGAATTATTATAAATTTTTATGAAGTTTATCTTTGCTTTAAGACTTGATGTTATAATTTCTAAAAGTTTAGCATTATAAAAATTTTCTAAAACTAATACACTTCTTCTATCCTATATTTATTTAAATTCATATTATTCCATTGTAATAATAATAAATTTAAAAATTTAATCAAGTTGCCAATTTTTTTAGGTTTGTCTTCAATCCTGACTATCTTATTCATAATTAGCTTAATTGTAAAACCCAATTAATAATGCTAGAACATGTATTCTAAAATGTTTTCTGTAATTAGGTAAAAATAATCAAAATATATTAATCTCATCACAATATATGCTATGCTTAATTTTACTAGGAAAAATGATGGAAGTTTTTTAAGAGATGCAATTTATACAATAAATAGATCATATGATTACGTATTTTACGTTTTAGGGTATGCTATATAATTAGATTTGATACAAAAACATGAATTAAATTCTTTAAAAATCTGGTTTTGGGATTAAGATGTTAGATTTTATAGATCAAAAAAATACTGAAAACAAAAATTTATGATTGTAATTTAGTGTAGTTAGAATTACATTTCCATATTAGAATACTGAGAATTTATACATTAAAGTTAGAATTTATAAATATTTTATATAATAATGCAGGCAATATCAATAAGCAAATAATTAAAACTAAACCAAAATGCAGGTTTAGATTATTATGAATTCATTTTTTTTAAGAACATAAGAATTCAATGTTAATTCCAATTTTTTTGTTACTAAAAACAAATTGAATCTGAATAAAATAATTATCATCAAAATCTTTGGGAACTTGATAGATACTAAGAAAATTCTTTTCTATTAGTTATTTAACAAATTCACCAAATTAATTTGTTTTAAAATAAAATAATATTATCAAAATTTCTGCTTGTTAATAATTTATACTGCTTTAGGCATTACTCTAATTTTTTCTACTTTTTATATTATAACTTCTACTGCTTTATCTATAATGATTAATTAATTATTAATAATTATCTAAATGTCCATTTTATGATTCATTTATTACTGTATCTTTAAAAAGATTTTGGTATTGATTTTTGGAAATGATCTTCCCAATTAGTATTATATGAATTTATAATTAAAAATAAAATTTAAGTGATAAATTTTTTTATTAATATAATAATAATATATTTGAGCTATTTTCACTATTTTTCTTTTTTTAATTTTAACAAAAAATCTATTTCTAAATTTAGTAAACAAATTTTTAAATTAAAATTTGGTTCTAATTCAAGCATCATTAATTTTTTTTGAATGAATAATATTCAAATCTATCTAAAAAGAATTTCTTCAATTAATATTAATCTAAACAAGGCTTTGACTTTTGGCAGAGTAAATGCTAAATTTACATCGTTCCTTAATAATTAATTTTAATTTGATTTAAGAAAAATGAAATTATGAACCCTTTGTCTTTAATTCATTATATCCAAGTTGTTGTAATCAAAATTAAGTAAAGTCTTTTTGATTTTGAAAATTTTTGGTAGACATATTATCATCTTTGGTATTAGTTAACCAATCCTTTTATAATATTTTACTATTTATTGTTTATTTTCTTTCATCTCTTCTAAATCATTTATAAAATACTTTTTAAATAAGATAAAAATTGGCAAAAAAATTTGAAAAATAAATTTAGAGATCTTAATCTCTAATATATTTAATACTTGAATAGGAGTGATAGTTACTTTTACATTTCCAAATAATCAAAGAATAAAATTAGGTATTTTCAATTCAGTATATTGTAAAGATTTAACTTTTAAGGGATTGATTAAAGCACATAATTCAGATCTTTAATTTTAGAATCACCAGAAAATCAAATTTGAACTTTTCAATTATAATTGTACCAAATAATTCAATTAAATATTAATAATTAGGGATCAAATATGAAGAAATAAAGGAGTGTTATAATTTTATTATAAATTTGAATAGAAGCTGTCATAAAACATTTTTTTCTTATGGAGCTATAAATATCAGACCTTTAAGAAAATACTTGATTTGTTGGTTGCAAATATGTCGATTTCCTTTCAGTTCTTGATAGCTATTTCATTTGTCTAAAATAACTATAAGTTGAAAAATTTTAATTATAGCATCAAAAAATACATCATATAAATCCTTAATTACTACCATTAATTTATTGTTCTTCTCTGTTAAGAATACATAAAATAATCTTAAAAATTATTAATGAAAATTCTCTCAAATATTGCTAAAATATTTTTGTTTTATGTTAATTTATAATCCCATTCATATCAATAAAATAAAAAAATATGTTTATTTCATAATTTTATATCAAATTAATTTTAATTTCCCATTAATAAAATCTACAGAATTAAAATAACATTTTGCTAATGGACTATTAGAATGATATAAATTAACTTTATAGAGTTCATGTTAGAATTACTAAATTTTAATTAAGAAGGAATAAATATTTTTGATTTTATCTTATATGAAATTTAGTATATTATAGAAAATAATATTAATTAAATTAAAATGATATAAAATTGTGAATTAGTGTGTTTTCAAAATCATAACAAACCTGTCTGCTCAGTAATTGTAGAAAAATGTGTGAAGAAAGATGAAAGACTATTATGTAAAGAATGCCTGAAGAATTTTGACTAAAAAATTAACATCAAAGGTTTAAGTAAAATTAAAGAAATGATAGAAAAAAAACTTTTAGAAAATAATGAAAAAAAATAATATTTTTTATCATCAAAAATATAAGAAATAGAGTAATTAACAAATGATCTAAATTAATTAAAATAGAAGTTAATTATTACTTTTGATTTAATTTTAGGAGACTTAAAAAATTGTATAGATCATTTAGCTAAAGAATAGTAAATAAATAATCCATACAGACTCATTGATGAATTAGAAAAGTTATTGAATTAAGGGAGTTATGAGAATGAGTTTATGCAATTTATAGATTATATCATCTCTTAAAATAATAATGGAATTAAAAAGGTTTTATCAAAAATTAGTTAATTAACAGATATTTATAAAGAAGCGAATAATCGAATAAAGAATTCTTTTAAAAAAATAATAAAAATTCCTTAAACTGAAATTTAAATGAATCTTATAAATAAGGAGATTAAATAAAATAAAAATTGTTATGCAATTGCATTTAATTAAAATGGATAAATAATGGCTTCAGGTTGTGGTAAAGATATAAAATTATGGAATTTTAATAATGGAAAACTGAAGGAAATATAAACATTATCATCCCATAAATAAGATGTAAGTTGTTTAATATTTAGTAAATTATCTGATAATTTTGTTTCTGGATCTTTTGATAGCACAATTAAAATTTGGAAATAATTCAAAGGATAAGAATGGAAAAGTCTATAATCAAAAGAAGATTATAATCCTATATTTTGTTTAATATTGTAAAAAAATGAAAAAGTTTTAATTTCTGGAAGTGAATATTATTCAATTAATGTATGGGATATTGATTTTGAACTTAATCGTTTGAATTTAAGTTATTCTTTAATAAAGCATACTCAAAGCGTTTGTAGTTTATCATTAAATGAATCAGAAACATTTTTAGTTTCATGTGGGAATGATTAGTAAATAATTGTTTGGATGAGAGAATAAAATAATTAATGGGGGTTTAAATAAATTGTTACTTAATCAATTAAAGAGATTGGCACTAAAATTTGCTTCATAAAAGAAAATTAATTTATATGGATTTGTGGAAACTAAAATGGAAAAGATTGTATTTGCTTTTTTGAATTATAGAATGAGAAGTTTTAAGAATAATTTAACTAATAAATTAACTTAATATCTAATAATTAAGAAAGTGATTAAAATTTATTTCCAATCATTTTTAATAAAGAAAAAAAAATCATTTTCTTAAGACATAAATTCAATATATACATTCTCTCTTAACAATTTCATAATAAATATAAAATTGCTTCAACATTGAAATTTGATAATTATTTAATCTAGGGATCTATGACAAATGATGCTGAATTTCAAGTCGTGTGGGAAAAGAGTAATTCAAGTTACCTTATATATTAAATTAACTAAAAATAATGAGGTTAAATTTAAACATATTGATATTCATATTGTTATTAATCTATTCAACTAAATTATTATTAATAAAAATATTATAGTTCTAATTTAAGTAATAATATCTATTTTTTTTAAATATATAAAATTGTAATATTTATAGAACTTTTTAATAACTAGATAAATTCAGATAAATATATTCTTTATTTTTAACTATATTGAGATATTTTAATAAATCTATTATTAATATATATATCTCAATTAAAACAAATATAATAACGTTTACAAACATTTTCAATTCCATTAGTAATAAATTATGAAAAAAACAATTAAATTTTCCTTAAGAACCTAGAAAATCATTTAATTATTTATTTATTAGTTTTATTCAAATTTCTATTTGATTAAATATGTATTTATTAAAATTTTCAACTTTCACCATCATCCTCATCATCATCTTGACCCTCTGAATTATTTGACTTGCAAAATAATAATGCTACTATAATAATTAGTAAAATTAAGGCTAAAAATAACACTATAGAGAGGCAAAAAATGATAGGTACTGCAATAATATAATCTTTTTCGTTTAAATTCAAATTCTATTAATTTTAATAATGATTTATACAAGTTCTTCTAAAATCATTTTTGCAGAATGGATTATTAAAAGTTCAAAAAGCATAATTGAAATTCCGCAAATCAATAGATTCCACCAAATGTCGATAAAGTACAAAATTGATATAAATGAAAAAATGCAATTTAAAATGATGCTGTATATGCTATATTCTAAGATATTGATATTTCATTTTACTTGAAGGCTAATAGTCTTATTTCTTTAACTATACATAAATAGCTAATACTACATTAATTATAAATATGCATAAAGTACTGCTTAATACTAAATTTTCTAAAAATAAATTTAAATATGGTATTACATCCATTTTTTAAATAAATGGAAAGAAAATAGCTTAAAGTAGTAGCTGAAACAATAAATGAAATAGTGAATAAAGTCTATAATATTAAACCTATTTTATATTGGTTTAGAGTCTTTTATTATTTACAAATTTACTTCCTTAAATTTTAGTTGATAAATGAATATTGAAATTATCACAGCTAATAAAATAAAGCCAAAAAAAAATGAAGCTCTTGAGATTTATAGGGTTTTCACGTTAAATAAATATTCTGATAGCATTGAATTCTGACCTTAAATCCTTAATATCATAAATATAATTCCGAATAGACAACCTATTACACCAAGTACTTTTGCTATAAAAGAAGACTTTATTATTTATTAATTATTCTCCTAATCTGCTCTAAAAAATTAATAGCAAATACGAATTCTTTTAAAACGGAGTTTTTTAGTTTACTAAAGGGAAACAATATACTAGATCTTAAGATCGATTTTCTGAGATATATCTAAGTCCATTATTCATTAAATAAAATTTAATTAATTTACAAGGATTTAGGGTTGTAAATAAGCTAACATAAATAGCATAATTATAAGTATTAATATGTGAATCTAAAAAAAAACAAAAAAATATTAAATAATCATTGATTAATAAAAGTCTTAATCAAATATAATACTTTATTGAATGATTAGAATCTTATAAAACATAAATCTTCAATTATAATAATCAATATTATATATTTTCAAACTTAAAATAAATTAAATTAAATTATAATATGATGTTAGAAAATAAGGGCTCATTTGAATTCTTAACAAATGCTATAAATTTCTCTAAATTGTTATTTTCCTCTATACTTATTGTATCTTTTTACTAAAAACTATTTTAAATAAAAAGAGTCTTCATTATTATTAGAAAAACGTCTTTTTATTAATTATTAGAATGCAAAGAAAGTAATTCTAAATAATATCTTAAAATTTTAATTAAAAAATTAATTCCAAATCTTAAGAGATATTGATAAGGTTAGAAAATTTAATTACCATCATTAAAAATCAAAAAGCCTTTAAAAATTCACTAAAAGTCATTCCTCTTCAAATTTTACTTTTTTCTAATAATAATTCTTTACGTTATTTCACCATCAAATAATATTAATTAATTTTTATTTTGGAGAATACTTTTTATAATAAAAAAAAATGAATATTTAAGAAAAATAATATATTTATAATTGAAATCTCTTCAAAAACTTGAATCTTAATTGCTTCAAGACATATAATTATTGATGAATTTTATATTTAAGATTTTCAAATAGTTTAATTGACTCTAATTTAATAAGCAACCATCTATACAAACATTACATATAAATACACTTAAGATATTATATATTAAAAAAAAAAAATATGATAATATTCTTAATAATTTAGTAGATCCCCATGTACAAATTCTAAAAGGAAGTCACTTTGTATCCAACAGTTGAAGAGTACTTTGAATTAAGTCTGGATGATGTTTTATATTATATGAATTAATCAAGAAATATAACAAAAGCATTGATATCAAAAAGTCAGATGAACCCTCAAGTACCAAATGTAGAAATAATTGATTTATGGTAAGAAATTTATTATACAGAAGGACATAGTAAATATTATAAATATTATTATTGTGTTTTAATCAGTATCTACAAATAATAATTATTTTGCTGCTCTCTACAATTAAAATTTAGTGATTTGATATGAATGGATGAATCAAATCCTTCAATAAGTTGGATAGACCTTATAAATTGAATCTTCATTTAATTGTTTTTTTAGCATAAATTTATCTTTAGATTTTGACATTTTGCTTGATTGTTATTAGAATCAATAGTTGTTTTAATTAGAGTGATAGGTTAATAATCCAATATTGCTTATTTATCCTAATCATAGGTGCCGAAATCAACAAAAATATACTCAATTTATAATGGAATGACCTCTTTTATAATAAATGCCTAATATTTCCCCAATTTTTACTCTCTACTCTCACTATTTTCAGAACGTTTTAATAATAATGAGTAGTTACAATAATAAATTTTTAGACATTAGTATCCCTATTAAAACAAATCCTAATATTTATGTAATGAATTAGCAAGAGATTTTATTGTTTTATATATTCTCAGAGTCTAATTTTGAATTACAATTAAATTTCAAATTTAAGTCTTGAAACAATTTTATAATGATTAATGCTTATTACAGTTTTTCGACTTATTCTTAATGTGATGAAATATTGGCATTATGTTCAAAAAACCGTCTTTACTTAGATTAATAGAATGTGGAAACTAAATAATTTATTTAACTTAATTTATACGGATTGTTCCGTTTAGAAAACACTTAAAAATAATTAAGATACAATATTGTAATATAATTAAAAAATAAGAGTTTATTATTAGCGAGTAACATTTTAATAGGAATGAGTTATTTTAAGTAATTCTTTATTATTTTTGAATGATGCTACTGTCTGGAAAGATCCAACCATAAAATTGAAATATTTAAAACATTCAAATAATGTGATATTTTAATTTTGTTATTATTAATTTAAGGTACTTTTATAAAGGCCAGATATTTAAACAAAAAAAGAACTAAAAATAATTTTTCAAGATTTTGTTCTATACATACTGTAACGAATTATAATTCAAATTTATTATAATTGTTATATTTTAATTTAATTAAGATATTATACGACTAAATTTATACCGTAGTTTATGAGAAATTTTTATTAAAAAAAGAATAAAAAATTTCTCTCAAATTCACTGTCAAGAGTAAAATTATTGAGCTTTTGGAGTACATCATACAGGGTATTGTATATTACTTAAATATTTTGAATTTTTAAGTTTCTTAAAATATATTTAATAATCTCCTTCATTCCAAACACAATTTCTATTAAAAATTCACAGACAATTTTTTAAGATTACCTACTTATTGAAAAAATCGAAATACAAAATAATAGATGAAAAAAATTATTCCACTTAGTGTTAAATATATGATACAATACGAAAAATAAAGGAAATGTTTGTCAGAAAGAAAATTTACTATTCACAAATTTTTTTAAAAGAAAAAAATCAACATAAATTATAAGAATGAAGTAAATTTTGATTAAAGCCGCTAAAAATTAAATTAATAATAAAGAAAAAAAAAATTAATTATGAGAAAATTTAATTATTAGCACTTCTAAAGAAATAATATAAAATTTTTGATATGTCTAAAAAGTAACTAAAATGTAGAGAAAATTTTCTAAGAAAACTCAGACAATAACTTACAAGAAGATTTATGTAAGTATTATATTAAATAAAAAATTTATTAAAAAAATTAAAATTAAACAAACCATCATCAACCTAAAAATAGGACAAAATGTGAAAAAGCTTAAATTAAAATTTAAAGTTTTGGATAAGAAAAAGTCTCAAAGAAAACCATATAAAAATTCTAATTATTCGATATATATTTCATATATCGAGAATAAACTAAAAATCAGATTTATGTTCAAATCTTCTAAATTAATTCATAAAATCAGAGCATTAACCAGAATATAAATAGTATAAAGAATTTAATCATTATAAAACCAAGTTTAATAAGAATAGGAAAGAATCAACATAACAAAGGCTAAAATTTTAGAAAGTTTATAAAAAATATCAAAAATCTAATATAACAAATTTCAAGAAAATTCAGGCTAAAAGACAAGGGAAAAAAATATTATAAAAAGAAAAGCAAACAAAAAAACTCAATTCTCTAAATTCAGATAGCATTCCTTTAATTTTTACTTAGAAAATTTAATAGAAAATAGTTGATATAAATTAAACATATTATCTTGTATAATAAATTATATTAACTTACATTCCTGGTATCTTTTTAATAGGATATGATAATTAATCACTTGATTTTAATTATTGTTATAAAAAAAATATATTTTCATAATATTCATGCAGTATTAAAATTTTAATCCCAATTTGTGTTAAAGCAAATTTATTATAGGTTGCCAATAGCATTTAACCTGAAATATTAATAGTAGGACGAAGTAAAAATTAAACAATCTATACGCATACATTTAGCTACAAAAAAATATTTCTGTTTAAATCAAATTTTACTTTAGAACAAGTATTTTCAGATTTTCTAGTTACATATTAAAATATTATAATACTAATCTTAAATTAAGACATTTAAATTATATCATTAGATTTCAAAAATAAAATGACCATAAATTAATAGTAAATATTCAATTTAATGCAATATAAATTGCTATGAATACTTAATTATTATCTTCTTTACTATTTATAAATAATATTAATGAAATTATAATAATATCGATTAATGAAAATAATTTACTACTCCCTATTACCCTTATTTAGTTGAATTGTATTATAAAACCTATAAATTTAGTAAATTAACAAATGATTTTATCATATATTTTTAATAATATTCAGAATATTTGTTTCCAAATTTGGAATATTTAATATTTACCAAAATATTACTATGTAAAAAGTCTTAATAGTGTAAATTTATAATAACATCAAAATATAATATGATAACTAATATGTAACTTTTATTAATTACACTATTTATGATCATAATCCTTAGTTACCTTAGCATATTAGTTTATATTATCTGCTTTAGTTGCTATCACCTATATAATGTAGTTCAGCTGTTTTTAATTTATTTATTACATTTTTAACAATAATCCTTGATAGATAAGTCTGTTAATGTATAGTATTGTTATATAAATTAACCTTAAAGATTAATAATTTAAACAAATACTAACAATTTTACATTAATAACTTCTGTCAATAATTAATTTTTTATTTTACAAAATAATTAATCTATTTAATTAATTTAATAACAATTTATAGAAGTTATCTGTTTATAAAGAGAATAAAAGTATGTGTCAATATTTTTAAATTGGTTAATTATAAACAAGTTCTCTTAATAATTAATCTAATTATATAATTTTATTCATGACTAATGGATTTCATCTCTACTATAAAATGATGTTAATTGAAGTCCATTCTATTAAATTTATTTTATTAATTGAATATCAATTACAATTTTGCAATTAATAATTTTGTTGTTTTTTGGTAGATTAAATATATTATAATCTTCTAATTTTATATACAGAACATCATAATGTAATTTTATTAGTAAGCAATACACTTAAATAATGTTTATAAATTCATAGTCTAATTCTGAATGGACTGAAATAAGTTTTATAATAAAGATTAGAATTATATATGAATAAATTTTAGATTCACCTGCTTTAGCTTCAGTTATTTAAACTATTCCAAATAATAATTTAATATTTTTTTGGATAATACACTGTTGGAATTTATCATATAAAGAATTTAGAAGAACTAAATGCATTTGAGCCAATTTAAATTTAAGGTTAATTTGATACATCATCAACTCAATGTATAAACTGTATGAAATTGGAATAAGCCTATCATTTTTTAATGACTTAATATTGTCATATTAAATAAGTATAAATGAATATTTTAAATTAACTCTTCATGGAATGTAACAAATATTATTTTAACAAGTAAAGAAATAAATGTTTCTATATTTTTTTATACCTCTTTTTCAAATGGTACTTATAATATTTCATTCCATCTACCTTCATCATTTCATTTTTATTTTAGAAGATTGGTTTAGATATTGCTTTCAATCATAATTTTACTTTTAATATTATTTTGCATAAATGTAAAATAAAAGATAAAGAATTTAGAATAAATTAATAATTCAAAATACTTTGAACTATAATGTGAAAATATAAATATAAATAATAAATGTATATTTTAATAAATATCATAATTCTAATTGTTATTTTTAATTTCATTTATCTCTTATCATATAAATTATAGTGGAATCAATGTTGTTAATCTTATTTATATTACTTTAGAATATTGATAAGTAAATCTTGTTTAATATATATATATATATATATATATATTTATAATTTCTGCAAGAGAGTCTTTAAATTGAAATATACTTAAATTTACTCTAATCCATAAATTCTAAATATTATGAAATATAATATCAATACTTAAAAATAAAATAAGAATTATTATATATAGTTATCAATTATATTATAATTCATAAGTTGAATATCCTTCATTTAGACTATCCCAAAATACCAAATATTTTCCATTATTTGTGATAGACCCATAAATATCATTTGTGTTACAATTCAATTAATTATCTATTTTAAACATTCCATTATTAATTTCTCTAATTATATAAATATATGTTTTATGTCTTACTACAATCACATTCTACTCTTTATTGTAAATAATTGGAAATCGATTTTCATCATATATTTAATTATTTTTAATTAATTGAATTGTCTTTTCCCTTATCTCTTAATAATATCCTCTTGTTTATTCAAATATATAAATTTTATCGTTTTTTTAAGCACCACTTACCCACATAAATTAATTATCTTTAATAAACTAAACTTTATATCCAATGTCTAAGGTTGATTATATAACAAAGTATTTAAATTCAAATATATCTTATTCACTTTTTTCCCAAATAATAATTTAATTCTCTTTATTAGCACATGATACTAATTATTTTTCTGAATAATTTAAACTTAATCCAATAACAGCATCTTAATGTTTATCCAATTAATAATAATATGTCAATTTATTTCGATTTAAATCAACTTTCCAAACTTTAATTGATGCATCCTCACTTCCAGAAAATAATAAATCCTCATTCTAATTCAGTACTAAGCATCTAACAAAACTACTGTGTTATTAATATGGTTTTGAACTAATCCAATTAAATTAATCTATTTATTACCAGCATATTATAGATTCATCTAAAGCAGCTGAAATAAAGGAATTTTATTGCTTACTATAAACTAAACATTATATCCAATCAGAATGACCAAGCAAAGTTTAATTTAATTTCATTTATCCATTTTGAAAACTCCATACAAAAATATCATTGTCTGATGTTGATATCATAATTGATCCAGAAGAATTAAAAGCGATTGCTCTACATAAATCCATTTATTTAATAGATTAATCAATTAAGTTTAATTTGATTTAACCTACTTCTTAAGTTTTTTATTTATCATATATAACCATTAATTAAGAATTTTTATTGATTAATTATTATGATTGTTTTAAAGATTAAATTTAAAAACCCATTTCGAGATTTTACAATATCTCTATACAATTATCATAATCTAAAAATTTCTTAAATTATTCAAATTTAGGAAGTAATTTGGAAGTCCAAGATTTATTATTTTACTTAATTTCATTCATTAAAACATATAAATTCTCTTCATTTTTATTTTAATTCTAAACTAATCGTTCTAATTCATCATAAAAACTATATTAAGAATATTATTATATTTTTTATTATAGATTCTGAATCCATTTATTCATTATAGAAATCATTGAGTCTAATTATTGAATAGCTTATGACTTCATTTAATTAACTTTACTTTATAATTATTCAATTTAATTTATATCCATCATTGTTTGATTTTCTACTTATTCCAACTTCTTTATTTATCCATCTTCAATTAAGGAAATAATATTCTTTAATCCAACCACTTTGCCATTAATTTCTGTATTCTCTAAACATTTTGGGCATAAAAGTCTCTAATTGCTTGATAGTTTTGGATCAAAAGCTACTGTAACTATTTGTTATTTATGTCCTTTAGAACACTAGAAATCTTATTCCTTTTCTATCATTTTAGGTTTTAACATTTATTTTTATAATATAATTTATTGAGATACATTTCACATTTTTATAATGTAATTTAATATTTTAATCATAGAATTATCTACACAAATGTTATACATTAATTAATGAATGTATTGAATTATTCTTTTCTTATAATTCTTTATAAAAGCTATATGATTATAACATATCTTTTCAGAGGGTTTAAAGCAAAAAGAAAATCTGAAAGTCTTTTATTTTATAAAATTCAATTATTTATGAGAGCCATCCCTTATCATTATATATGTATAATTATTAATTACAGAATAACAAAATAAGAGTATTATTTTTTAATTAGATTAGTAAAACACAGTAATTTTTTGAAATATTATGAGTGTTGTTTTACTTGCAGAATTTAAGGTTTTATTATTTCATTGAATATGATAGTACAGAAATTATAACTAACTTTATATGTATATATTTTGATTATTTCTATGTAGACAGGAAAAGTAATATATAATTATTTATTGATCAAAGTTAATTAATATATTTAAAACATATTAGTATAAACAAAATCATTAATCTTGATTTTATAATTGATAAATAGTATATTTTTTTTAATTAAAGTGTTATTATTTGGAGGATTATTTTGTAAATAAATGAATGATCTCTAAAAAAGTATAAATCAATTTTACTTAAATTAAGAGAACTTCATGAGTCTTTATGTTATTAACAAATAACTATAACTAACAATAGAGAATATCATTATTTAATGTAAGATAAATTATAAATAGTATTATTAAAGTTTAATAAATTCAACATAAATCAAAATACATAATTATATTGATTTACTATATATTAGATTCAAAAACAATACTAAAATTTGAGTTTTTTTGGAATATATGTTTGAATAAGTTACTTAGAAATGTTTATAGCTTCTTCTTCGATTCTAGTCTATATGGCTCTGATTTTTATAATGATTTTTTTGGAATATAAATTCTTCTTATTTAAAAACAATTATTTAATTTTCTCTAATGATTGATTAGTTTAAATATGAAATAAAAATCATAACATTAATTAAATGAAAGTAAATTGAAATCTTTAATAATAGATTATAGAATTGCAATTAATTTAATAATACCTATATTTTCTAATGAATTCTCATAAAATATCAATAATAATTAGAACTTAAAAATGAAATCAATAAATTTCAATATTATTAAAATTTTCTTATCTATATTTCTTTTGATTATTCATCCCATGTTACAAAATATTCTCCGTTTTCACTCACATTACCATAGATACAATTATCTCCAAAATCTAGGGAGGAATCTAATATAAAATCAATATTATCATCAATTTTAACTAATTTTAAGAAGTTTACTTTATAACCATTTTTACTAATCAAAAGATTTTACTAATAGATAAATTTTTGTGGAAAAAGTGAAGCACAAGCTTAACCACGACCTTCAACATGTAATCTTTTTGGTGTTTCATTAAATTATTATTAACTTTTATTAAATTCATAAATTAATAGTTCAGAAGATTAATAGGGCTGAAATGTGAATAAATAATTATTGATAAAACATAATCTACAACCAAAATTATTTAATTCAATTTTTTGAATCACAATCCATTTTTACTCTGTTTCAATAGTTTATTGTGAAATTATAAGTATAAATTTATCATAACCACAAGAGATAATCTTATTTTAATCTTCATTTAAACTTAATGCAAAAACTTCCCAAAAATGATCTCTGATTATTTAACAACACATCCATTATTAAGTATTAAAAACCTTTTTCCAAAATTTAATTGTTGAATCTTAATAACCAGATATAATTAAATCTTCATTTTTATTAATAATTAAACAAAGTACTCCTTTTTCTCCTTATGAATTTATATATAATTTGTTGAGTATTAATGATTTTGATATTAAATTGATTGACCATATTATGATTGTATCATCCCTGCTACCAGATACAAAGTTTTGAGAGTTTTTCATGTAATTTAAAGTAATAAGATTTGATTTGTGTGAACATAATTTGTTTATCAGTTTTAATTCTTCCCTTTTGAAAAAGAACACTTTAATTTAATTATTACAGCCTGCCAATAAAATTGAAGCATCTTAATTAAAAGTTAATGAATTGCATTATTCCTTTTATTAGATTATATTTAATAAAGATAATTTTATACATTAGTTTTAGGTTTATGAATTCTTATTCAGATTTCCCATTTTTTTTAAAATTGTAATTTATTTATTAATCAATTGACTTAAATTTGTGAGAACTCAATGTGATTTATATAAATAAATTATTATTTTTTATTATTATGAATAATGACAAATAAATTTAATATTGTATATTTAATTCAATTCTTGTTAAATATCTGCTTAATCATATCATTAAAAGTGACAATAAATTACATGTAATTCTAAATAATAATAAATATATGTAATACAAAAATCTCTTTATCTTCCTTGAACATATTACTTTAAATTTGTTATAATTTATAGTTTTTCATATTTAAAATTGATTAAGGGTTCTCAGAAACTTAAGCAATATTAAGTCTAATTATGAGGACACCAGAATGAATAAAGAATTGAGTTTTACCAAATCTAAATAATGAATCCACTCCTTCAAGTTTATTAGACTTAAATTAAAATGCCTTTGATCATAATAAGTATATTATACTAAATTAGGATGAATTTCATTGATTTCAACATAATATGCTATGAATTACTTGAGATCATTTTAAAGAATTATATCTCCAATAGCAGCCAATATCTATTTTAACCAAACCCATTCTTTTAGTATAGAGATTGAAGTAGCTATTTTACATTCTATTAATTAAATATATATTTTTATACTTTTTCCTGTATGTTTTTGAATTATTCTAATTAATTTCGTTAAAATGATTTCAGTAAAGGATAAACAATTTAGAGTAAATTTAATTTCATGATTCAATTCCAAATTTAAATTATCAAATAGATAATTAACTAAATATATTGGAATAGTTTCAATAATATATGTATATTCAAACATATTAGAGTCTTTTATTTGAGGTTTTACTTTTTTTTATATAAGTGGCCAATAGACATCCCTTGTTGCTAATCTTTCTTCATAATCATTAGGTATTTTATTTAAGAATTCATTTAATAATTTTGCATATAAGTTGAGTTCATTCTAAAATTTATATATTAATAATATCTTACACAAGCTGATTAAATAAGTGATAAAGAATCATAATTTCGTTTGGATTCTTCTTCTGTAATAATATCAGGTTTATATTTATAAGCTTATAATGAAACAACTGGATATAACTCTGGAAATGTTAAGTCTATTTCTATGTTTTATTATGTCTTATGTATTTTTGGCTTGTAATTACTAAATGGTATAGCTTAAATATTATATCAAAAAATAAATTACAATAAAATTGATTTTAAAATTTCAATTAAATATTTCTTTAAATTCTTGGATTTCTAAAAAAAAAGTCCTTATAATATTAAATAATTATTCCATCTGGTTCATCTTCGCTTTCTTAAATCCGTTTTTCTAATTATCCTCTGTCCATAATTGTATAATAAAATGTACTAATGGCTTCATCCAAATAGTAATAATAAAAAACTTGTATTTATGACATTTATTTATAATTTTCTAGATTCAATTTCAACTTTAAAATTGAACTTTCAAAAAAATCTTCATAATTTATTTTACTCATTTCATTCTACTAATATGGTTCACGGATTAGATAATCTTCATAAACAAGGTCACACATAAAACTTCTATAAATCTTATCCTTTTCATCGTAAGTTTTAGTATGTATATAAGGAATAGGATATGGATTATTAGGATTTGTACTTCTTTGGAGATATATATTTATATCAATATTGAAGTAATATGTGTTAAAAATAGAATCTATTCTATTCTTCTTTTTTGTGTAAGAATAAGTTGGAGGTTTAAAAATATTATTAATCTAGAATTTGAAATAATACTATCCAATAAATGTATCTAATTAATTGTCTAATCCATTAAATCTAGGATCAACATTATCTATAAAAGTAATAATCTTATATTTTGAAATTGCATCTTTTAAATCAAATTCTTTAAATTGATTTTCTAAATCAAAACAAAATTTTAACAAACAAATTACATGAATCCATTTATCATTAGTAAAATTTTAATTTGATTTAACTTCAAAGAATTTTTGAATAAAATCTTAATCTATTTAATTTTTCCTATATTTATATTTCATTTCCTCTTTATTTCTATTTTTCATAAAGTAACTGATGATTTATTATTAGAATTACTTATCATTCTCCAAAGAAAAAGGAAATATCTAATTCTTTTATTTATTTAAACATTTATATGCAGGATGTTCAAGTAAGTTATCTATTACTCTCTAATATCCTGTATATTTACTTGTATAAACTTAATTTATTAAAAGTTAGAATAATTCATTATACTTATTTTAATTCAAACTTTGATTAAAACTTATAATTGTTTTCAAATATTTAATATCCTCAATCTATTATTAAGATAACTAATTATTATTTGATTCAATTTATTGAATAAATTATAAATTAAAAGGTTCTTTATATCCATATTCTAATAATCTAGATAATATAATTGGATCAATTTCTTTAGGTTGTTTTAAAGGAGCCAATACTTAATATTCTATTAAATATTTTTGGATCAAATTAGCTGATTCATCATTAGTAGTAGCAAGCAATAACAATTGTAGAAATATATTAAATCTAACTTAATTGGAGCATTTATTTTAAACTAATTTTTTTAAACCATTTTTAGGTTCAATATAATCCTTACGTCTTTTTTTCAAAACCTTCTATTTTATTTCTTTATTAAAATTCTCTTAATCATTAGAAATCTATAACATCTCAGTTCTATTATTATTTATTTGATTATCTTATGGTTCTTCTTATTCAGAATAATAATATTCATAATCACTTTCATAATTATATTATACTTTCTTAGCTTTTTTAGGTTTCCTATCATCTATTTTTACATAATCCATTAAAGAATATAAATAAATATCTAAAGCCTTATTAAATTATTTTGGTTCAAATAAATATATTGATTTAAAAAAGATTATACCAAATTCAAATTCTAAAAAGAAATTATAAATGTTTAAGTTTTCTTTTGGTATTTTCTAATCATACCAAATCATAGGGAAATTCAGTAAATAGTAATATATTTCATGATCTTGGTAGAGGATCTATTTTAAAAATTATATAAAATTAATCTTATCTATTAAGAATTCTTAATTCTTTGAAGGTAATTAAAGTTACTTTAAGATATTTTAGAATTCAGGATCGTTAATTATTTGATTATCTAATCTTTATCGATCGTTTTTATCTAAACAATCAATATATTGATCAATTGAAAATATTGGTCTTTTTGTTTAAATCTTACGAATATCATCATTTGATATTGAATATTCATTTTTATTCAATTCATAACTTGAAGGAATACAAAACTTTACTCCCTTTTCAATCCCATTGACTTTCAATCTAATCAATGAATGTTAAATTATCTTCTTTTAGAATAAGCTTTTATATTATTTTTCATATTTAATATCAGATTTTCTTTAAATAATTGAATCTTACCAAAAGGGTTACGACCTTCCATTAATTATTAAATATTCTTTAAGAATATTCAAACATGGATTTGATATTAATGATACATCTTCAACTATAAAACAACCCATGAGCTCACTTTCAAAATTGAATTATTAGGTATTATATTCATAATGGTTTATTCTCAAATATCTCATCATTTTGATACAGTTACTTATATAATTTAAACCTTTCTTTTCAAATTCTGTAGCTAGTATTTATAATTAATCATTTGATTGTAATGTAAATCTGATTTAAGGGAATGGATGAATTTTATTAACTTTTAAATTTAATCTATGAAGAGTATCAAAATATTCATAAAAACCAAATTAAGCTGCAATTTAGGCTAATGAATTTTATTAAATATTATTCTAATCATTTAATTCTTATTATATTTCTACTTCATTTAAATTTGTATTTTTAGTTTCAAGGCATTCAATTTAATTTATTTTCAATCTTAAATTTTATTCTTCAGATTTTCCCCCAAATATTTACTTAAATAAAATATCATGTATCAAAGTATCATATGTTTTAAATCTCTTATAAAATATTAAACATTCAAATAATCTTCGATCAAATTTACTAATTAAATCTTATTTATATTTTTTATCATAAGGTAATTTAAATAATTCTTTAACTATATCTTCACAATCTCTATCTGAAAATTTTGATATATAATAAGTAAGTTCAACTTAAGATAAAATTTCATCTAATCTTTTCTTTTTGAATGACAATATCACATCTTTGTGATCTAAACCTTAGGGTTTTATATTTTGATCTTTTTCTTTTAAATAAAGGAAGGCTAACTATTATAGTATTTTATCATTGAAATTCTTCTTACTTATAGTTTAAGATATAGCTATAAATTATTCTTCAAATTAATTCTTTATGCTTAATTAATCTAATTTAACTAAAATTTCACTTGCAATTTTAAATTTAAATGCTTTTTAAGGATTAAGAATATTTGGTAAAAGTTTTTTTAATATTTCATGAATTTCATCTAGAATTGTGCTCATTTCTTCCAAAATTGTATTTATTTCTTCTTCATCATCAATTTATTAAATATTTAAATTTTTGAAAATATAATGAATCTATTAAATATTCATAGATTCATTTTTTAATTATAATTGTTGAAATTTTGGTCTTACAACTTAATTAAGAATTTAACGTAATTGATTAAAAAGTATTCTATTTTTCATTTCATTTTTCATATTACTAGAAACAATCATATTTATTTATTCATCAGGATTTATAAACCCATATATTGTTAAAATTTTAAGTAGATAACGATAATCATCATTAGTTTTGCATAATGGAATTCTATATTTTTTAAATTCATTCATTAATTATTTCAATACTTTTTTATATGAAAGGTTAATCTCTTAAAATCCTTTAAAGAACAATGAACTTAAATTTTATCTTTATATTGAAGATTTCCAGCTTTTCAAATGACGAAAAGTAACTATATCTTTTTCAAATTATTACTCAAATTTAAATAGATCAAGTCTCTCACTCTTAGGATACGATTATTTGATATAATAATCTAATTCATTCTATATATTAGAATTCATTTCTTATAATTAATATAAAACAGATATAGG